ACTCTGGTTTTTCTGCAGACCGTATAAATCTTTCGCCTTTTACTAAAGATTTCCGTGCAGAGGAACAACTAATGAGTCTATAACCAATTTTTGATAACTCCGCTTAACTGCGGGGTAATATTCTAAATAATAATAGAAACTAGCGAAGCAAAGCGGATATCGAGGTATGCGCTACGGAAATAGTTAACAAATGTGAACTTTATATGTCACGGGTACTCAGTATTTGTCAGTATTTTATTGTTCATCTCACATTTATAACAGATTACTAATGGTTTTCTAATATATCCGTGTCCGCCCGTGAGGTCACGATACAGGGGAAGCCGATGGGACTCGCATAGAATATGTGTATATGAGGGACCGGTAGTGAAGACCCCAAACATGTAGATAAAGATAATTCCCATGTATTCACAAAGTCAAATTTGGAACTTTGACTGTGATTTATAGAAATGATGTCTTTATAACTATTACAAAGAATATTCTCTTCATCTATTCTGACAATTTGATGACTGATATTCAAGAAATAAATTCAGTTAAATGCGAAAATGTTTCTATAATGCGCTAGAATATGAGACACATTAAATATGGAATTTCATGATAAATTAAAGCTTCTGTACCAAAGTTTGTTAATATGTACAATATTCTTGCTGAGTTTTGAATGAAAGTGCAGAATTTTTACCCTAAATTGTAGTCAAAATGTTCCATTCTCATTTTAAAAATAACTACCCGCGATATACTAAAAATATTTGATGATTCTTCGGTGACGCGATATTATATTATTCCGCTTACAATAGCATACAATAAAAAACGGCGAGTTTCCGCGTTTCATTTAATTAAATCTGACGTTGAGGGTGCATCTTGAAATCATCGAATATAATGTGTCTTTCAAGTTAAAAAAAAAAAAGTTTTATAACCGTTTAACAAATTCAAATTTGAAAAAAAAAAGGTTTTTAAAAAGGTTTCGTGGTAGTTGAATAGCAAATGATTCCGAATAAAAACATGTTACTAGTATACAAATAAAAGCGGCTCCGAGTCGTGTTCTGGTGCGTTTCAATGGTAATTGGAATACGAAGCTACTGTCGTTTGAGTCACATGCCATGGTACGAGTCATAATCTAGTTACATTCGAGCCACGGAAAACGAATCGGAGCTGTTAGAGCTGTGCCCGTTGAGTCGCATCACACGAGTCTGTATCAGGATGTCTTACCACCATGTATCGACTTAGTTTGCCGTTGGTGGCGTACTCGCGAAGTCAAGATCAGCTAAGTTGTCAATCCGCCGATATTTGGAGCTATTACATTCGATGGATAATATCGAACCAGGGAATGGCGCAAAAGACATTCAACTTCATGGGTTGTACTTCTTTCGTGTGCAGTATAAATGATATCAGTGAATGCAAGAGTGAGAATTGGCACAAGGACACAGGACACAAAATATAAGCTTGTTTGAGAACCGGACTCCATAAGGCGTCATGTGGCCTTTTGACGCGAATGCGCACCCGACAAGGCCGCCGTTATGCAAACCAGTGACCGGAATGATCAGTGAGCCTCCATCGGGCTGATTAAATTTAAACTGTGAATCACGCTAAAACCTGTTGAATGATTCACAGGCCCCTTTTGATATCCTAAAAATCTACACGCATGCGTATTCTAACCTATTCATATGTAAATGTATGTGATTTGAACAGTAACGCAAACTTGATCGTTGCCAAATTACCCAAAATTCTGTTAAGACGTACATGCATTTTGCATCCAACCCAGGGAAATGATCATGTACCGCACTGCAATAAAATTAATGTATCAGTTTCAGTTGTAAAAGCGGTTTTCGGTTAAGAGTATTAGTTGACTACCGCCATCTTGCTTCACTCACCGCATTCAAATGTTTGGTGATCGACGTATAATATCTATTTAGTAACATATTGTAGATTACTCTGGTTTTTCTGCAGACCGTATAAATCTTTCGCCTTTTACTAAAGATTTCCGTGCAGAGGAACAACTAATGAGTCTATAACCAATTTTTGATAACCCCGCTTAACTGCGGGGTAATACTCGAAATGTAATAATAGAAACTATCGATTAGAATGATTGATGGTAAGCTTGTTTAGAGAGAGTTTGTAGTTGTAACATAAAAAATTAATGGTGAAAAGTGCAAGAACATGCAAGTTATTTGAACGAAACTTAAACATGAAAAACTACCTAGCAACCAATGACAATGACCAAAATATATAGCTGTAGCAACCCCTGCATAAAATTGTGTGCCCATTGAACTAAATCGATCGATGACCAGCAAATAGCAAATTCATTACAGACATATTATATAGTACGTGTTGTTCAACGTGGCGGAAACAACAATTGTGATATCTGTCAGTTTGAATCCCGCATATCTGAAACGTTACTTTTGAAATAAACATCAATGTCAGCTAGACAAATCATGTAAATCGCAACGACCAATCTTCCCACTTTTTTATTGTTTTACTTTCAGTATCTTTGTATTTGTTTCTGACCGTTTTGTTATAGTATCTTGTCCCAGCCTCAGAGAAAATTGCTATAAATAAATAAATAAATAAATAAATAAATAAATAAATAAATAAATAAATAAATAAATAAATAAATAAATAAATAAATAAATAAATAAATAAATAAATAGCCGAACGTTGATTGTGCGATTCGACTGTGCTCTCGACACATTAAACGTCCGAATTGAACCGCCAGGCGACAATATGGTCCACAACGGACTCTAATCCCCGTGTGTACCCACAGTAACTCTATAGAGTGCACTGAATGAATATTTCAGCGTATAAACACTTGCGAGTGGCATGTGTAGGGTTTTATGCACCGGTTATTTTTAGAATAAAAAAAGACAATGAAAGGCGGTTCAAAAAAAGACTCAATCTTCAGTGATATAATTTGGTGTGACAGTTTTATTGTGTCGCTGCAATAGAAGCAATGTTATGTTGTACAATTTGTAATCCCAAACAATGACAGCCGGGGGTATATTTGAGGGGGCATGGCAATCATGGGCATTTGGTTTAGACCAATTTATTTTACCTTTCGAAGTTTTATAATTATTAAAAAAACGATTGTGGTATCAATACATTAGAATTCAACCAGTTGAATAACCCTGCAACGCGATGCATTCATGTGTTTACAACAACTTTACTCTGCTCTTAATCACCGTGACAAACAGTAAGACACATACCAGCACGTTCCGTTGTACCTTTCACAAAGATTATCACGGGATGCCGAGCATCTACAGGTGGCATTGGCCTTGGTTTTGATACAATAGTATGTGCCTAATCGCATACCATGAAGCATAAATCTAAAAGCTTCATGCAAGCAGTTCGTGTAAACAAACAGTAGGCCACGCAAGACAGCGACGGTGACGTATGGTATTTCCGTTGCTTGGCAACTTGAATGAGAAGAGAACTGACCGCTGGGGGTGTTTTGATTACGCATTACTAATATGCATTGACAAATATGAAAACACGAATGTAATGTGCTTGTCATTATTTTAGAAATTCCAACTACTTCCAGCTGATGAGTACTAAATCAAATAAACAATACTGCGAAAACATGGAGCCGAAATAATAATTCTGTCACCTAGAACAAATAAAGCGCAGTACTTACGTACGAGTTTTGTTTATCACATGTTTTTGTTATGTCCAGCTCCAATTCAGCAAAAAAACAAACATTCGCTTTCCTTTATGAGTTTGACACGAAAACCAGTCCACCTGAAATTTGATATTCAGGTATTTCTCAATTATCTTTAGCTTCTGCTGCGGCGAGCTGTACCCTGTCGTCAACAACGGGAACCCTCTGCACCCTGTCGCCACCACCAGGAACTCTACACCCTGTCGCCACCAGCGGGAACTCTGCATCCTGTCGCCAACACCGGGAACTCTACACCCTGTCGCCACCACCGGGAACTCTGCATCCTGACGCCAACACCGGGAACTCTACACCCTGTCGCCACCACCGGGAACTCTGCATCCTGACGCCAACACCGGGAACTCTGCACTCTGTCGCCACCACCGGTAACTCTCTGCACCCTGTCGCCACTACCGGGAACTCTACACCCTGTCGCCACCAGCGGGAACTCTGCATCCTGTTGCCAACGCCGGGAACTCTACACCCTGCCGCCACCACCGGGAACTCTGCATCCTGTCGCCAACACCGG